CCAAATAATTATGAAAACAGAATAGCTGGATTTGGAATAACTGCAATTCGTAAGGATATTTACATGAAAATCTATTTTTATCACTTTGAAATGGGTCGGATCAGTTTATAGGTTAATGCTTTTCAAGCCTTCAGCCCACGTTGTTGACGCATGAAATCTTTAGGCTGAAAACCTGTGTAAATTGGATCCGGGTAAAGTTATAAAATAATTGCACGAATCGAGTGACAACAATAGTAAAAGAATTGTTGTTATTTTTTGAGGTTTCGGGTTCGAATACCAGAAATACCAGAGGTATGAGCGTTCAATGTCAAATGATTCAAAATATTCTTTGAACAAATACTATATTGTACTAACCCTATATTAATAAAAAGTTATAAAATAATTATTAAAGTGTTGAATTGTTATAAAATGGTTGGGACATTATAATAAGTAGAAAAGTTTGATAAATGTAATGATCATGTTGTTTGATGAAATTTAATTTTTTTGGTATAACCATAGGTATCCGATTATTGATCGGTTAATTTGGATTGGGAACTGTAGAGGCAAGGGCAACACTCTTAACCCAGTTTGTTCCATTCGTAATCACCGTGATTTAAACCCCGAGCCTTTATTAAGAGATTTAATATCTCATCCCACTAAACTAACTGGTTGTTGGTTGATGAAGTTTAGTGATCATTATATAACAACTCAATAAAATGTTATTGTCATTTAATTTGTAATTGTTCCATAAATTTAATGGTAATTTTAACCTTTAAAAGTTCCGTAAATGTAATGATAGTTTCATACATATTATATATATATATATACACACATATATGGCTTTGATTATATTGAAAATATGAGAAATCAAGTTTTAGAAGTTATTGAATTTTAGCAAAAAAGGACGATTGAATTGAATAATATGTCCATACATATCATGTATGTGTATAGATATTATAATGTCAAATTTGTTAGGTGACGTGAAGCCTATTTTTCTGAAAATATATAGTTGGCCGACTTTTTAATTTTCTAGCACTTTGAAAATAAAAGTCGTTTAAAAAAAATCTTATTGCTGGTAAAAAATGAGCACACGTGCGTGTTGAGATTATTTGATTGATTTTCATTCGATTTGGTTTTATAGATCAAAGTTTTTTTTTTTAAAAAAAAAAGTAAATTTAGCACGAACTAAGTGGTGTATGTGGTAAAAAAATAATTGTTATTTCTTGAAGATTTGAGTTCGAACATCATAGATGTTAGGAGTGTGAGTCTCCAATGTCAAAGGATTGAGAATTATCGTTGAATAGATACGATACTATATCTTTTGTTTAAATAAAAACGAAAATGGATAAAACAGAAACATAGATAATCGAGTATCTTCTAATCTTGGTAGATAGATTAGAATATGTTATTCAAGATAGATAAAATATCATCACATGTTAAATGGATCGAGATCGAATATAAATTTTGAATCAGATTAAAATAAGAAATGAGGATTTGAAAAAGATTATAGATTGAGTTAGAGCTATTTGGAATGTAATCATAAGAGTGGCGATGATCGGCCCTTCAATCAGATTACGTATACATCTTGTTTAATCAAATGAACGAGGGAACTCCCAGCCGTAATTGATACAACACAATAAAAGCACAATTTGTTACCAATTAGCTAACTTCTTGTCGAATCATTGGTCATCTGATCCTATTTGTCAACTACGAATATTCAAATCATGATTCCGTCCATGGAGTAATCTAGCCCTATATTCGTGTATAAAAAGCCATGCATTGTGTTCAACATCCATCACCAAACAGCCATGGCTTCCCTCTTCCAATCTTCACCGCCCGCCACCTCAACCACCATTCCCACGTCGATCGCCTCTTCCTTCTTTCCAAAAACATCCCAACTTTCTACAATTAGGAACCCCAAGCATGGAGTTTCATGCAAAGCAGTTAATGGCGACAAATTTGATCGAAGAGATGTCCTCATTGGCCTCGGTGGTCTTTACTATGGAGCAACTACCCTCGGAGACGCAATGGCTGCACCGGTTTCGGCCCCGGAGTTCGAAAAATGTGGCCGTGCGGATGTACCGGAAGGCGTTGGAATGACCGATTGTTGCCCGCCGGTTTCACGGAAGATCGTTGACTTTAAACTGCCGTCGTCGAATTCACGGTCACGAGTCCGACCGGCAGCGCATTTAGTCGACGAAGAGTACGTGAGGAAATACTCCAAGGCGATCGAGCTTATGAAAGCTCTACCGGATGATGATCCACGTAACTTCATGCAACAAGCTAATGTTCATTGCGCTTATTGTGAAGGTGCTTACGATCAAGTGGGGTTTCCTGATCTTGAGCTCCAAGTTCATAATTCATGGCTCTTCTTCCCCTTCCATAGATATTATTTATACTTTTTCGAGAGAATTTTGGGTCACTTGATCGATGATCCGACGTTCGGCTTGCCGTTTTGGAACTGGGATTCACCGGCCGGTATGCAGATGCCCCGTATGTATTCGGATCCGAACTCGAGCTTATACAATGAGCTACGAAACTCAAGGCATTATCCACCAACAATGGTGGACCTTGATTTCAACGGCGACGACGTAACAACAACAAACAAAGCACAAATACAAAGCAATCTTAGAATCATGTATAGGCAAATGGTTTCAAATGGCAAAACGCCTAGTCTTTTCCTCGGTGGACCGTTTCGAGCCGGCGACGAGCCGTATGGAGGTTCAGGTTCGGTCGAAAACGTGCCACATGGACCTGTTCATATATGGTGTGGTGATGATAAGCAACCAAATGGTGAAGACATGGGAACATTTTACTCCGCCGCGAGAGATCCTATATTCTACGCTCATCACTCGAACGTGGACCGGACATGGAGTATCTGGAAGACGATCGGAAACCGGAATCGAAAAGATTTCAACGACCAAGATTGGCTTAACTCTTCGTTTCTCTTCTACGACGAGAATGCGGATCTGATCCGTGTTAAAGTCCGAGATTGCCTCGACCATCGACGCTTGGGTTACGTTTATCAAGATGTTGAGATTCCATGGCTGAAGGCAAAGCCAACGCCTTCCGGGAAGCGGCCATCAAAGGGCGGTTCAGGGATCGCATTAGCAGCAGAAATCAATGAACAAAAGCTCGTTTCCGGCACTGAATCATTCCCGGTCGTTTTGGACAAAATCGTGAGGGTAAACGTGGAAAGGCCGAAGAAATCGAGGAGCAAAAAGGAGAAGGAAGAGGAAGAGGAAATACTGGTGATTGACGTGGAGTTGAAGGGAGATTCGTTCGAGAAGTTCGATGTTTATGTGAACGTGGAGGATGAAGTGAACACCGGACCCGACAACACTGAGTTTGCGGGGAGTTTTGTGAATGTCCCACACAAGCATACACATGGGAAGAAATTGAAGACATGTTTGAGATTAGGGTTAAGTGATCTGTTGGAAGATTTGGGAGCTGAAGACGATGATAGTGTTATGGTTATTTTGGTGCCAAAATCCATTAATGGTAATGTCAAGATTGATGGCATCAAGATTGAGTTTGATAATTAATCACTTGTTATTGCTTGCTTGGTATTTGAGAAAAATCTTTTTTTTCCTAGGAAAATTGTTGATTTTTCTTTGTTATCCTATCCTACATGTTACATATAGAAAATTCAATTAAAATTTCATATTACTTTTAATATATTTCAAACAATATTTCGTGTATTTGTTGAATTATTATTTTTTGAATAGATTTGTTGAATTAAATTTAAAATCTTACCATTTATATGTTAACTATTTAACGTGTATTTAAAATAAATATGGCATGACAATGAATCTAAATTGTTAATACAGTTAAAATTAAATTATAAAAATAGATTTATATTTCACGCTTAACAATATATATATATATATATATATATATATTCGTACATTATCAATTAATCATATTAAAACACATCATTAATGAATAATTATTAAAAAATGTAATTATTGTATTTTTAGAAAATGAATTAGTATATATAACCCATTGCAAATTTGCAAGTGCGTTTTAATATAAATTCTAATAACAATGTTAATTTGATTAAACAAAATGTAATGTTATTTGGCTCGTTGTAATACCCAAATGGTTAGTCAAACTAATAATGCAAGAGTCAAATTATGTTTTTGGTCCCTCTATTATATTCAAATTCAAATATAATCCATGCATGTTAATTTAACATAATTTATTTCCACTATTTTCACAATGTGAGGGAGAAAGCAAACAGAAGGGTCAATGTACTATAACAGGGATCTGTGGTTCATTTCGATATAGTTTGCTGGCCGGGCCACTCCCGTCCTCGTCGACGGGTGTCACCGGCATTGTGTGAAAACAAACTGTTAATAACCTAAAACGGAGGGCTTAGGCTGTACAAAATGTTTCATCAGTTCTCATGGTATCCTACACGATTCGATCACTTCACTCACAGCTTTACGAGTCTCTGGAGAAATCATGTTTAATGTCAAGCGAAACGCCTGCACAAAGAGAAACGAAAGCATGTTTACGGAATTGCATAAATACGGTCCGATAGTTTCACGATTCAGAGGACGAAATGAGTAAATTACTTCCAAGTCAATTGAAGGGCATATCAAGCAATGAAACCGAAATGGTCACGGCCACAAACCTTGTAGTTAAAATTTATTACTCGGACACGGATGTAAACACTGAACATGGGTATGTTCATTCTTTTTCCAAGTCTCCCCATGGACGCGAGCACTTCAAGAAAATGAAGAGCCAACCTATTGCTAATGTTGCTGCAACTTTCATTATTTGATGGTATTTTTAAATAAAAGACGTACCACAAATCTCTCCAACACAGGTACCAGAATCGACAAACTGCGATTTGGGAGACAATCAACAATTGCATTTTGAGTGCTCTACTGTCAATGACAAAGTAGGAAAAAAACAGTTTTTAGTTGTGAAGTGTCAAAGTACTGGGAAAGATAAAAGAATATACCAACCTTTCTGTAGAAAGAAACGCAAGTAGTAAAGCTGCATCTTCTTTCTCTCCTTGTAGCAAGGCATCTTCATTTTTCTGTATACCCAACAGAATGAAGATTTAAGGCATGTCAAACATGATAAAATATTCAAGCCCACTAGCATAAAAAAACATAATTTTCCGTGTCGTGAGGAGTGCAAGGAAAGAGAGGGTAGCAAGATGATGGGATAGAGGCAGTTTCTGAATCATATAGATTTAGTCCTCACCCAAGGTAGAACTTCCCCAGCTTCATCATCTTTTCCTAGGTGTGAGAATGCTGCCATGGAGGAGATGACCGAATGAAGCTTTTTATTGATAGTCAACTAATACTCTGCATTACACCAACTTATATAATAGTTGTGCCTTCAAGTTTACTCTACCTCTATAACAGATTCAAAACAGACTCCAACATTCATAACAAACTTTAACAGCTCACTCACACACACAATGCTCATATTAGGAGCATATGCACACATTGCATATTCTAGAATACAAACGTGTATTCTAGATATTCTAATATTCTCCATACTCTTTTCCTTCTCCTTGAGCAAATGAGAAAACCTACACTTTGGGTTGAAATTGCGCAAATGAAGATTTGGACAATGATTTAGTAAACCATTTGTTCTAGTTGAATCGGAAGTGCGATGCTTCTTTCCGTTCGACTTGAATCGGAAGTGCGATGCTTCTTTCCGTTCGATCTGAATCGGAAGTGCCGATGCTTCCTTCCGTTCGATTTAAATCGGAAGTGCCGATGCTTCCTTCCATTCGATTTAAATCGGAAGTGCCGATGCTTCCTTCCGTTCGACTAGAAACGCAGACACAAATTGTATGATAGCTGAGACAGTGATGAAGTCTGGCCTAAATCCTTTCCCCAACATGCAATTTAAATGTCCCTGAAACTGAGCATCATATCCACACTCTACAAATGCATCAAGAATAGAATTCCTTGAAACCAAGTCTCTCCAAGGAATCATCAGAAATGTCTGATATGCGGCTCCTATGTCATTGCATTTTACATAAAAACTAACAAGGGCATTTGACACCGGTGTAATTGCATATAAGAAAGAATGCTGAAGAATATACCCATGGATCACTTTTTCAACCTGGAGATCCTTTAAGTGTGCACAGGCAGAAAGAACACTAACAAGAGTCGCAGAATTCGATTCAAACATATTTACATAAATTAACTCCTGAAACAAATCCATTAGCACACATAAAAACTCATTCAGACATTTTGTCAAACAACTTACGAGCAGCAAATGCTCAACTCTAACTTGTCCCTTCTGTAATCCAGGACAAACCAAAACCAAGGACCCGGACCCCTGAGAGGCAGTGCAGAGTCCCTTTGGTTTCGCGATAATCTCAATCTGGTGCAAAACCTTCAAATTAGCAAAATTATAGACGAATATCTTTTGTTCCAAAACGATTACGATTCAATTTCTCCGGAGTTGAACTGATCTCACTTCAGAACGAAACGAAAGCTCCCCTATGCATCGATTCTGGTGGTCATCCCAGATCATAACTCTAGTCGGCGCACCGCCAACGAGAGCCAAAATATTATACCGAAAAAACATCTCCACGACTCCAATATTGCTAGCTATAACGAATGGAAACCAGACCAAGGAAGAATGTAGAAGAACCTCATAAAGGTACATCAGAGGAAGTACTAGGCGTAGATGACTTAACATAACAGCGATGACAGAATATCCGAACACCGCAACGATGATAGCGGAAGGCATAGCAGTGAGCGAGACTCTCATCTCGTTCAATAAACAATGACAGAATGAAGAATGGAAACAACGGAAGAAAAAAAATGATGCCAGGACGTTTGGCGAATGATACCATGTGAGAATGTTGCCATGGAGGAGATGACCGAATGAAGCTTTTTATTGATAGTCAACTAATACTCTGCATTACACCAGCTTATATAATAGATGTGCCTTCAAGTTTACTCTACCTCTATAACAGATTCAAAACAGACTCCAACATACATAACAAACTTTAACAGCTCACTCACACACACAATGCTCATATTAGGAGCATATGCACATATTGCATATTCTAGAATACAATCGTGTATTCTAGATACTCTAATACTAGGTTTGCGAGAAAGATGGAACATAGCAATGGAATTACAGCCATTCAACTCCCCTCTCTTGACCCATTTGAATTTGGTAAAGAAACAGTAGCTGCTGCAAGCTGTGATATGCATAGAAATTTGGCATGTAATCGTTACGTGCCGGTGGCTGAGTACCGAAAGGAAAAGGAAAAGACTTCTAGCCCTTTTTGTAAGGCACTGCACTAAATACTAGGAAGGTAAAACTAACCTGTTCTGGTCATCCTTCTCCACTAAGTTTACAAGCAGACCGAGTATGACTACGAGAAAATCCAACTCCGGATCAGTAAGAGGTACGCACTCCGGACATCAAGATATGAACCAAGAGAAGCCTCTTCCATTTTCCTGGTGCGGGGAAAATATGAGCAGAAGGAAGGGAAGTGGCTTGCAATCAATGTAGACAAGGTCTCTATGGCCCCAGAGGCAGCAAATTTTTGACAGCCAAGAGGGTTGTCAATTGTTAAATTCATTAGAACCTGTCAAAATAACACCTCACTATTTGATATAAACTACTGTGAAGAGAAAACATATTAGATATCAAGATGTTTTACACAGCAAATCCAGTTTTATTTTGTTTATTCGAGTGCACAGGCCCATTCAATCCAACAAATTTCTCAAGGATCCTTTCGTGTTTTTTGATCTGCCATGGCTTTAACTATTGCGTGAATTAGACTATTGTTTGTTTCATTTGCGTTTGCTATGAAATCCAGATTTATGATCTCTCTCATTAATGGTTGAAGTTTCCAGTGTTCGATTTATGTTAGGAATCCATGAAGTCCATTGGCTTTGATAATAAAAAAAATCAGGAATCCTTTAGACTGTAGTTTTAGCTTTTATGATCGCATGCCATTAACCATAGATTTTTATAATAACTGATGTGGAAGATCCAGATCCCCATTGAAGTTCCCAACCAGGAGACGTTGGAATAGCATTGGAATCCTGTGTCATTTTATTGATATCATATTATCCATAGATTCTATGGTTTGCATGTGGGCTTAATTAGTGTAGAAGAAATATTGAAGCTGAGAAAAGCAACGCATAACTCAATGGGCAATAACACATTGGGTGATCGGAAAAGTAAAAGAGTAAGTGGTTTTCAAGATTTGTGCTTTAAAAGTCGAGATCTGTGGTATAATGTTAAAAGCTTGAGCTATATGAACCTCTTCGTTACTTTTAGTTCTAGAGACAACGAGTTGTAATGAACTATAACATTTGCAGCAGTTATTGGTTTCTAGATCTAAAATTTCCCTTTCCCAAGTGGTTTATGTCCTATTCATCCATTGTTGAGTCTTTTCTTAGCTGATTGTGCATGATAGTTTAATGACATGATTGAACCCTTGGTTGTGTTTGTCTTCGAAACATCTATGAAATATATGAGTACCTTATCCTATGTCAATTCTATAGTTTCTTTGGCTGTTCATAAATCATATGTGTCTGTGTGTGTTTATTATACATTTATGGATTCCATTACTTGTTGGTTGGCAGCCAAAAGGATTTATTTGTTCATATTTGATTTCTTGCTGCAGTCAAAATGCAATCGTGCTCGAGGAAAGGGAGGAGTGTAACCCCTCAGACCGATGCGGATAGCCCGATCTGGAGTGTTACATTAGGGCCATCGGAGCGACCTATTGTAAAAATAACGGAAAATTTAAAAATTTTCTTAAAACATGTAAAATCATAAATGATTTATTATTATTCAGAAATAAAATAGGTTTTTCAAACTCAAATATAAAACAAAATACAATCCACATACCCCCTAATCACATGTACCATACTCTGCAAGCAACGCCGAAAGAACTCCCTTACTGATGTTGATAGCTGTACTCGTACAATTCTTTTAGCCTGAAAAGATGAGTAATAGAGTGAGCTTCGGAAAGCTCAGTAATACAAAACTACCAGATGATGCTACATGACATGCAGATAAATGGGAAGCCACAATTTCCTTATTGAATCAAACGTATACCAGTTGCGGAATAATCTAGGGTTCCATTAGTAGTTCATCGAGTAGAATCCATGAATCTCAGTTTATAAGAAACCTTTCATCCAATCAAGTTTTCATGAGGTCGAAAAAGATATCTAGTGTGTTCCATCAGTACGATAAAATCATAATAGGTACACTAATCAAATAATAGTTTAGTAAAATCCCATAAACCACACTGTAGTGGAGCTTTTTAAACTCGTATTTTAAACCATCTTACAAAGAGTTAACCTAAGGGAACATCTTAGGGCCTGAGAGTCTACCCAAGATAGATTTCGGGGCCGTGGGGCCTACCTAAGAACACATCTTAGGGCCGCAGGGCCTACCCGAGAATGATCTCAGGGCCGCAGAGCCTACCTAAGAGTCACATTAGGTCTACAAAAATTTTCCAGCTTGATCAGAGTTGTACTTTACAAATCTGTATCTCCAAGATACAGTTTATACAATGATACAAATCCATAAGCCATCACCGTTAAGTCGGTGTATCCATAAAACACTAACCATAGATTTCAGTGTACCACATGTTAAAACAATTTTTCAAAATATAAGGAACACACTAGAGAATCCAAATATTTTTCAGATGTATTTTGTAGTTATCAATATGGATAACATGAACTTGTGCAATTTGATCGGATTCCAGTAATAAGATCTTATTGAAGAGAATCGATTTCTAACCGATCTAATCAGACATTTCAGATTGATACTTTAGAATTCCACTAAGTTTCTATGTGCATCAGGAAAACGTTCAGGAACCTTTATACATAATAATTATAAATTCAGATTTACTGCGAGTGATTCCATTACCCAAACAATCAGAGGTATTCAGGAATATACTTTGAATTCATAGGGTTTCAGTCCAATTGAACCAAATGAGGTATTCAGAATCTTTTCCTTATGCGTTACTTGCGTTTTCAAACATGACCGAAGTGATTTTAGATGAAAATAAAGAATCAAAGATTCAAGTCATTTACAATCTATGACTATTGACCGTATTATCAAACAACTCGAGTTACACAACTCTCAAACTGATGCATGTCAACAAGTCAATTCATTATCCTTCCAGTGTATTCACTCTTTAATACCATAATGCATATTCATAGATCATCCCCATAATCATCGCTGAATAGATCTCCCAACTGTCTTTATTTCATTTCCATGTTTCAACAATATCAGGAAATACAGACGCACTTGATTCATTGTTCATAACCCATAAGGACAATTCATCATGTAATTTCAACAGTGTTTCCAAAGTAATCCAATCACCTAATTAATTCTCAGTCATTGAGGTTACTTAGTTCGTTTAGTAATCAAGTCTATCCCGGTTACTTTAGAGTTTTCTAGAATAATTCAGACGTTTCTGAATTTCAAATACATGTTGTACTTCCTTTCAGTTCAATTTAGTCATATATTAAAGTCATTCTGGTATTCGTGATTGATTTGTCACACGAATACCCACTTATTAGTACTGTATGCACTCTAGAGTTTAGCTGAGCCAAGTACTTCAAGAATTATCATCGATCCAAATTTGAGAAGACGAACAAACATTCAAGTGGTACCTATATCATTCAGGTAATGATATAGCACTAACGTTGGTTGATCACTTAAGCTGTGTTCCATAACTTTTACTGGTAGCACAACATCCATGTTTATTTGGATTTCTTAATTAATCCAAGACATTTACTTATTCTAGGTCATAAGGGTATTTTGGTCATTTTGATGCTCAGTTTAATTCCATTCATTTTAAAGCTTGAGGATATGTATTCATTCCTAAACTTGGTGATATTCTTGAGTCATTTCCATTACAAGGGTATTTTGATCATTTTACATATCCCACGTATTTTAATCAGTTCTTTCCGTCCGGTCTTATTATTTAATTCAGACTTATCATCTATTCTATTCTACACGAATAATTCTGACAGAAGAGCACCCTCGATAATTTATTCTTCAGGTATTTACTTATAACTCGAAGATTTCGAGTTAAATACCTTCTCAGATGTTACTAACAAATTATCAGAAATTTTCCATATAAAAATAGGATCTCAACAAGTAAATCAGTAATTTATTGAGTTAAAAATGAATCCTCAAAGTACTTTCTCATTCAGGCTCAACTCTGACTATTTTTACCTCTCAAAGGCATTTTCATAATTTCTTAACCATATAATTTTGATATTAACTCTTAACGAAAATAATTATAATTTAGAGATCATATGGCTAATTATTTTCCCGAACATTCTCTGATCTTGAAATGATTCCTTAACAGACTTCTAGATTCTTGCCCAAAACCTTCTTGGGGTTAAAAACCGGTTATCCGCATTTCCTAAGCAAAACTTAATTTTTTAGCGGATCAATACATCTTTTCATAGTTATTAACCAACTTCCAGGGACAATTTTTGTCATCCTACAACATAAGGGTATTTTCGTAATTTTACTCTACCAGAGTATTCTCATAATTTCCCATCCAAGTACCTTTAACATTTAACCTTTGATGATATAAAATATAAGTTACAAATCCAGGGCTGATTTCTTTATCACTAATCACAAACTTGTAATTTAATTCTAACAATTCCTCAATCTCTTATATTAGTCATTCGATCCGTATTCAGTTACAGAATTTTTACCACATTCATATCGAGTGAATAAACTATTCAAGTCCACAAAAGTGACCAACATTATCTTATTCATGCATTTACCAATATCAACACATGTTCCATAAAGCATAAAGAGGTAATAAAGTATTACCTCGATTTTCTGTGCCATACTGGTCGACCATTTAAATTCCATTCGAAAGTCCTCGATCTTTGATTCAACTTCTAATATTTTCCTCTCAATCCAGACCATCAAAATTACTAACTCGTATCCAAATAATTTTCCTCGCCATAAAGATAGCTTATTAGAATTGAAATAATAATTTGGAAACCCAATTAGTATAATAGAATACTTGTGGGGTTACTATAATAATTAATCACTAAAATTAGGGACTGAACCGAATTAATTTGCATTATTGAGCCATAAACTAAAACTAAAGGAAAGTATGAGACAAAGCCAAGTTCTTAACAAGCACCCATGATGAAATCTTCCACTTTATTTTCTTTTTAAAACACCACCCACGTGATATTCCTTTGGAAATCATAACTTCATTTGGCAGATAATTGGTGTGTGGGGCATTGCCACATAACCCACGTGATTTGCTCCTTCATCTCTATCAGATTTGAAGGCTCAGACATTGGATTTTCCTTTGCTCAAGTGATTGCATCGTCCATCTATTTTCTCACTTCCTTCGTATATATCACAAATCTAGATTCGTTTTTCTTTCCGATCAATTTCACCGCCTCGTTAATCATCTTGAAATGACCGGAACCATCTTGAGCAACAATTACATTCGGTGTATGCTTGGATTCCTGCAACAGTCTCTTTTCAGTGGAATGAATCCAAGCTGGAAACTCTGACGATACAAACCCAAGCAACCTACGGTGAATTGGAATATTGAAATCAGTCGACAAACTGTTGCTGGCAAATTCACTTGAGTTCTGCATGGTGGCTCTGAGTTCTTGGACAAGTGTGGCGTTGAAATGCTTTGTAGTGTTCAGTTCCTCCAGGGTGTATAAGCATGTTTCTTGATCAGTTATCGTTGTGCTTAGCTGAGTCTTCAAGTCATTGATCTTGGAATCCGACAATATCGACTCTTCATCCCCGACTTCTAAGGAAGTTGTCGAGTCATAGAATCGATCCAACGCGTCATTAAACATGGTTTTGCATATATCTAAATCATGTTTCACCTGGGCATAATCGGTTTCAGCTTGTAACTTCTTGGCATATTGAGACAACTTAGCAAGCTCGTCGAGGATGATGAGACGCCTTCGTGTCTTTTGCTTGAAAGCTCGCTCTTCGGCCTCGTCTAATTTACCATAGCCCTTGAAAGACTTGATTGAATCTGTAGACACCCGTTTTTGTCCGGGTTTTTTATATATATTATTATTATCGTTATATTATTATTATTACTATTATTATTATTAATTTACAAATATTACACTTTTGCAGGCTTAGAAGCCCAATTCAGATTACAAAGGCCCAATCCCGGAGCCCAACAACCTAGACTGAACCAACCCATCAGATTAGAGTTTCAAACCCTAAAACATATTAGGGTTTCAAACCCTAATCCCCTACTCAGCCGCCGCTTCTGTTTGGACTTCCAGCCGCCGTGTGACCCTTCTCTGCCTCAGTGCCGCCACCATCACTGTTCCGGTCTGACCCCAACTGTTGCACTATTGTCATCTACAGCAAAACCAATCAAGAAAATATATTATATACAGTTCAAATCTCACAAAATCTAAATTCCAAATTTAAATACCAATAAATCCCTAAATATTCGGGATTTCTATCCCACCAAGTCAGTGAGACCCATCCCCTATTTTTCCTAGATATCATCATCATCTCACCAGAAATCCAGAGGTAAGCAAACATAAAAGAGAAAAGAAGAGAAAATGGAGAACGGTCGGGGATATAAAAAAAAACAGAGAACATTAAAAAAAAAAGGAGAGAAAAAAGAAAAATACAAAGAGAGATTCGAAACAGAAAACAAAAAAAAAGGAGAGGCATCTTACCTTTGGAGAGAGATCCGAGCGTTGTATCGTCGCCGGAGTGAACAGGAGCCACTACCGAAGGTAAAACAACCTCTCTTTTCCTAGATCTAGTTTTCCTTGGGGTGGGTTTTCGTTTGTTTTTTTTGTTGATTGAGGTCTGGGAGAGGAAGTAGAGTGATATAGGTTGTGTTGCTCCCCGTGGCCACCGGCTTACGGTGGCCGGGGAGCCGCGTGGTTCTCGTAAGGAGAAACGAGGAAGAAGAGAGGGGGAAGGAATAGCCAAACGGCTAAGGAAAATGGGAAGCATTAAAATGATTATAGGGTTTCAAAATAACCCTTAAAGGGTATATCTCAGACGTCAAACGACGTCGTTCTGAGACAAGGGAGGGTCGAACGCTGGGTTAAAAGGGGATAATGACAGTATGGGTCCTCATAACTTCTTCCGTGTTTTGTTATTTTCTTGGGATAATTACAGTTTAAATTCCTTTAGCTTTGTAACGTTTGTAATTTGATCCTTAATGAAATTTCATATTTCTATTTTGGGTTCTTTATTTATTTCGTGTTTCATTTTAATCCTATATGATTAGTATTCTATTTTCTAAGTGTTTAAATTTTTGGTTGCTTATTTTGTATAATGTTCGTTTTAGTCCTTATTTGCATGTGTTGTGGGATTTTAGCTGATGTTCGAATTTGGCCCTCAGATTTATGCATCTTTTGTTTTAGTCACTGTTTTGGCATTTGGTTTAAATATTTTTTGATCCTTCATGTTTTTGTGTAATTTCAGTTTAGTTCTTTAACTTATGTTTCTTCGATTTTAGCCCTTTAAATTTCTGTATTTGTATTTTGGTCCCTGAAATTATCATATGTGCTTATTTGGTTTGTATTTTGGTTTGTAATGTTAACTTAGTCTTATTTTAGTTATTTATGTATGAATGTATTTTACATATTTTATGGTTATTTGTATTATGTAAGTAATGTGTTTAATTCTATTTAATGTAAATGTTTATATTTCCAATTGCATTTATTTTCATTATATCTGATTTTATTTTCAAGAACACGTATGCGTAGAATGAGCGTGGAAAGTACTACTTGGTCGAAGTGGTGCGATCCGGTACGTCATTTTAGCGACATAGGAACTTGAAATAAGTCGAATATATTTTACTAATTAATTTGTTCAAATGATGCAATGTTGTTATTTTAAGTAACAATTTATTTTATTTTATTTTATGTGAATGTAAATTTCAATTTTTTAATTTGTATTCCATCCACGTTTTTAGTTAATCAATTTATTTGTATGTAAACATCATTTTTAGTTATATTCGATTCACATTTTATCAAAGAGGGAAATATTCTTTAACTGATAAGAAATATTCGAGTTAGCTTTCCCGACGGAGGATTGCTAATTTTGAGATTTCCTTTCGAGTTAAAGAACTTTCTCTAATTATTTAATTCGAAGCAAATTAATTAATGTTCGATAAATGGATAATAAATTAACTTTATATTCGATTTGTAACTTCCACCATTTATGACGATGTGTAAGCGACACAGTACCAATTTTGGGCGTTGTGGGGGTGTTTATCCTTCCCCACACGTAACCGACTCCCGAATCCATTTTAATTGAATCTTTGGTAAACGCAGACTATTTTTGTCTTAAAAATAATTGTTCTTAAAATTGTTTTAAAAGACGTTTTTAGGTATTCGGCCTACCTAACCCAAAGGTCGATGGCGACTCTATTCAATTTAATTCAAATTAATTTCAAATCACCAATTTTCTAAATTAAAGTCATAATCGTTTTTAAAATAATATTTAATTGTTACAAAAAAATGGTTATGACAGCTTGGCGACTCCGCTGGGGACTTAGAGAGTCAGGCTGTCGGTCGCTTATATATGGTCGTTATGGTGGAAATTATAAGTTCGAATATTTAGTAAAACTATGATCTATGTATTGAATTTTTATTTATTATTTTATCTCTTTATTTTTATATACTAACATTTTAATTGTTTTCATTTTTTTCAGATATTTCTTAGTTCTCGTTGAGTGTTATTTTTATTTTCCCTGTTTTTGAGTCAAAGGTTTGTTTGTTTCTCCTCACACACATCACTTTCATTAGCATAACATGAGCTCTAGACATGAGCTTCGATCCAAATTAGTTATGGTGATTGCTTTACTCTCGTAAGAATTTATTCTTCGTATGAGTTTTAGCAAATAACCCATGGGATACATACCTTATACCTTCGTAGGAATTTATTCCTCGTATGGGTATAAGACAGTGAATCCCCTCGAATTGAACTCGTTCCGTTTGAAACCTGTAATGGGTGAGGATTGAGGGTTTGGTAGCCCAAGGGGGCACCGACATCAAGGACAATTCGAGTTCCTTTTTCCTGATAAGAGCCGAAACCATGCATATAATGAACCATAGAACGGTCACACTAGGTAGAGTCATGCCGAACCTCTGTCCGTCAATAGGTACCCAAAATAGGCGTACACAATGGAGAAACCTACTCTAACATTTTATTTATTTATTTATTTATTTTTGGTAGAATTTATGTGCAGTTAGAATTTAATTAAATAAATTTAGGAGGGTAAAGAGCATGTTTGGGTAGGATCCTTTTTGAGGAATATTATTCGGGTAGATAATACATAAATGGAGTATATTTTATTTCCCGTTTTACCTATCTTTTTATGTTAAATTTATACAATTGTTTTGACTAACTGTTTTGTTTGTTTTGTTTGTTTTTTTCATACTGCATAGACATATCATTAGAAAAGGCGATTGATCTGTGAGTATCGATAAAGTGGAAAGACTTTCACGATGGAAAGGAGTTTCCTAAACAAAGAAGTGAATCCAGCAGATGTAAGGAACTGGTCCGAAGCCAAGCAGAAATAGCAGGGAGATAGTCTATCAGGGAACTACGTGTCGGATCTGTCTGATTATACACCAGCTTCTTTAAAACAGAATGAGCTTCAGGGATTGAAAACAATTTGGGAAAGTTGGAATCTTATTGAGAGGCAAGCTTTTCAGCAGACTTATGGGGATATATTTCATCTGATATACGTGAAGGTAGACCCGGTTCTCATACGAAGCATAATACAGTTTTGGAATCCGGCCTATAGTTGTTTCACATTCAACCGAGAGGACATGACTCCAACCCTCGAGGAATACCAATTTCTGTTGAATTTGCCAAGCGTTAAAGTGGACAAAGTTTACTCCCGATCGATAAAAGGGCCTTCTTTTAAGTCAAAGCTTGCAAAGATCTCGGGCACAAGCGACAAATGGGTAAATGATCGCTTGCAACGCAAGGGAGAAAGTGAGGGAGTACCGTGGTCTCACTTACAAAAGATAGCTGAAGCACACGTAGATGAAAACGTGCGTAGAGATGTATTTGCTTTGGGTATATATGGTTTGGTAATCTTTCCAAAATGTTTGGGGCTGATCGAGCTAGCAGTAGTCGATTTGGTTGAGAAGTTAGGAAGAGATGTGAATCCAGTACATGCGATTCTTGCTGAAACTTTCCGATCTTTGAATATATGTAGAAGGTTAGGGGGAGGTCGTTTTATGGGCTGTGCTCAATTGCTTACTATGTGGATCAGAAGCCATTTCTGGAAGGAGGAAAAAGTCAACTATAATCGTTTTTTGAAAGATTATTCTCCTGTTGCTGAGTACCTTACGAAGGAGTGGCCGGAAGTATCTCAGAAAGATCAATGGATTGATTTCTTCCGGAATCTACAGAGTCAAAACATAGCATGGCGAACACCGTGGCTGATGCATACGCAAATCTTGTTCAAGTGTGGAGATTTGGACTGGATTATATTATTGGGACTGTGGGGAGGAGTGGGATACGCTCCTTTGTTGATATTGAGACAGTACGGTGCCCGACAGTTTGTTCCCGTGACTCATGGGTTGACTGGTGCTGAATTTGATTATAAAGAAGGCAATTATAGAAAGAAAATCAAAGATGTGGCTGATTCTTGGAGGATGACTTTTAGGACTAAAGTAATTGGAGCAGATGTTATCTTGACGCCTGATTATGAAGCCTGGAGAATCAGGAGGGTAAATGATAAAATACCTTTAACATCTGGAGAGGGATCAAGGTCGATAGAAGAACAAATCAGAAATATCCCTTCGAATTTGGAAATCCAAAGAATTGAGTTTGAAATGGAAAAGGCTAAAGATTCCAAGAAAATAGAAGAGATGGAGAGATAAAACTTCATGTTGACTATCGAGGCTGAATTTCATGCCAGACAGTTTATAATGATGAGAGAACGGAAAGAGGAGGTGGAAGCCGATTTAGAAGACTTAAAAAAAGATTATCAAAGGGTGCAGCAAGTGAGAAAGAGACTTGGATCCAGAGAATTAGCAGCTGCAAGACGGCGAATCAAAAGTCTGGAAATTGAGAACAAGTGTCAGATCAAGAAGATAGAAGCTGGAAAAGCAAAAGTATGCGAGTTAGAAGCCGATAAAAAGGAATTGATCAAGCAGTATAAAGCTGAGGCTCGTAGAGCTCAAAAACTCCATGAAGAAAAAGAAGTCAGCCTGAAGGAATTAGAAGAAGAAAAGAATCAAGTCCAGGGGTTAAAAACTGAGATGAACAGTATGATTGAGGACTTTGAGGACAAAGATCGAAGAATTTTAGAGCTCGAAGAAGAAAGAAAGCGAAAGAAAGAAGAGATGTGGTCTGAGAGACAGGGA